TCCTGTATATTGCAATATTTCGTTAAAGTGAAAATGTTTTGTGGCATATTACCACAAATAAAGTGGGTCCAATGCCTAAAACCGTGTTTTTGTTGTGTATTTCTTCATAAATTAGCATTATATTAGATTTTCTAAAAAGGTGTCTCAGTTAAAGTGTCTCAGATTGAAGTATAATACACTAATACTACTGTTACTGAAAGGTTGTGTTGTGATTTGCGACAGAGTATTAGGGCCAGACTAAGAGAAAAAAAAACATATTTTTTGGGAAATTACGAGAATAAAGTCATAATATTACGAGAATAAAGTCATAATATTAGGTCTGTGAGAAAAAAAGTCATAATATTACGAGAATAAAGTCATAATATTAGGTCTACAAGAATAAAGCAATTTAAGGTAATGTAATTCTGATTCAACACGCTTTTCAAACAGTAAATCGGACTGAGCCACACAATACAGACTTGTTATTCCAGCCAGGATTTGTGTGTCAAGTATTGTTAAGTTGCTTGCCCACAGACGTTCAGCCTGAAGATGTTAGTTAAAGTAGCAGGAGAGTTGTGAGTATCACAACTGGTAAACCATCTCATCCCTTCTGCATGTTAGCTGCGCAGCACAACTTCATTAATAGTTTGCAGAACCACAACATAGGTAACATTAGTTAACATTACTCACTGTGTTGTTGATTGCTCTATATCATGTTATTTGATGTCTCCAGAATTGCTTACTCCTCCTTTAAACTGGGATCAACTGTTTTGTTTAGCGGATATTCACTGACTGGAATGTTGCAGTACAGGTTTAATGTCTAGAATAAAGTTGGTTTTATGATGTTATAGTGGCTTATAAACCAAATGATTTATACATGGATTAATTAAAGGTAGTGGTTGACCATTATGGGTATTTTAATAGCCAATGCAGATACCATATGCATATTTCCATTATTCCACGCACATTATATATAGTGATTATCTTTGGGAGTAACATGTTGTTTTAGATGACTTTCAGGTCTGAAAATTGGCATCATTTATATCAGTTGCTGGTGGAGAGCTGTTGTTTTCTTTGTGCAAAGACATTGTTGCTGTATTTTTAATATAGCTTACAGAAAGATGCTTTGGTGAGAACAAAAATGAAAAAAAACGACATGTCACATAACCACTGAGACACAAAACAGGTGGCAAAAACAAAACAAACTATATTTAAACAAATAAACCTTTGTGTATAAAAAGATAACAGTATCAGTGTTTGAGCCAAGCCCGCAGGAAGAGTGCCAGACTTTGAAGCCAATTTCACATAGTAGCCAAACCATGTAAGTACAGCAAAGGTGTCCATAATGTGATGCACACTGGCCAAAAAAGATGTTTTCCCATAAGGTAACAATGTGAAAGAAGTGGCTGTAAAACATTGGATATGTTTTTTACGCAATCAGAATTTGATCCGTTCAGTTCAATAACATTCAACAAATAAATCCTTTTACCCCCCCCCACACCTGCACAGATTATGCAGGACCGTGACACATTTTAAAGGACCAATGTGTAGGATTGGTGGTGAAGTTTTGCAACTAACTGAACACCGCTTGCGTCTGAGAAAGAAAAGAAAGAAAAGAAAGAAAATCAGGAAAGGCCGTATCTACAGCCAGTGTTTGGTTTGTCCCTTCTGGGCTGCTGTAGAAACATGGCGGACTCCGTGGAAGACAATCCGCAGCATCTGTAGAAAAAAAGGTGATTAAATGAACACCTACCTATGAACACTGGACCTTCAAAGAAAATGTATACAGCAAAATAAAAGAAAAATCTTATTCGACCAGTAAATCAGAATTGAGCGCTAAGGATTCTAGTATGAAAATATAATACGTTTTGTATACACTTCCTGTAGTGTATTACAGTAAAGTGGAGCAATCAACACCCATTTACTTCACCAGGACTGTAACACTGACATTTATTTGAATCAATATTTTACTTGAAGTCAACCTTGAAGAACTTAATAATTCATATGTATCTGAATGATGAATTTAATTTAGTTGATAATCAGTGATAATAGTTGCGATACTGAAAGTAAATTTTCCATTATTCTAACCAAATAAAGAATACCAAATCAGTGGATTGATTAAAATTCACTACACATATTAAATATAACAGGATAATACAATTTCCAGTAATTTATTTCAGTTGCTATACGTGGGATGTGTTGACTGAAACTATTTTAAACCATTTATGAAATTTTGATATTAAAAAGAAAAAAACATTTATAGTTGAATAACCAAATAACCAAATGTGACATTTATGAAGCATAGAACCAACAATTGTATACCCAAACAGGGATTAAATTAATGTTTTCACACAAGAATTGAAATAAAAAAAGGAATACAAGCCAGTAAATAGGTCCTATTATAATGTTTAATTCCTTTGCAGCAAATATCTCAATCACAGTAATTAATATTCACATCTTCCTGTGGATCATTTCATTGTTGTGCCCTCTTCTCTCCGTGCTGAGCACAGATTCTGTGTCTTTCTGATCACAGAGAACTGTCTAATAATACAGTGATGAACCTTGAACTCAGGTGATTTGTGTGCAGAGGCGTAGAGATGATGTGATGCTTATTGTGATGCAAAAATGTGTTTCTAGGCATCCTGATGTAAGTGGAAGGATGTGATTCATGGACATCACCCTGCACGTGTGTATAATGCAGAAACCTCATTAGCATAGCTATTGGTGTGGCATTGATCTCTTCATTCACCTCTAATGAAATGTCTCTCTAATAGCTTCTCATGAGATGCTGAAGGTAATTTAAGTCTTTTCACTCCTCTTTCTTTCACCCTGGAGTTCTTTTTCCTCTGCTTGTTTTTGAAACAAATAAGTGACACTTCCTTCTTTTTATTTTCTATTTTTCCATCCCAGTGAATAAAAGCTAAATCATTTACTAAAGCAATGTCTAAGTAACAAATATAAGTGCCTGTAAAAAGTCCTTCAGTATCACAATAAAACATCCTTATGTGTATTTTATCCCCCCTTATATTGAGGCCTGTAGTGTCTTTGGCTGCAGGGAAATGGAGTTGCAGTGTTACACAACCGCGGGTTGATGCCACATCTCTTGATCACATCTCAGATTACAAACCAGCACTAAATCTGTTGTGGGTTTGACCGCCACTGACAGCCTGACGCACTGCTGCCAAACAGTCCCACCGGAACCACCGAGTTATTTATTTATTCACCGCCACATGTCCCATTGATAGCGACTGTTATCTCCGCTTCCATCGTGCGCGTCCACTCATCTCCATAAACTCTCCTCTGCGTAATTATCCAGTCCAGATGTCCGAAAAGTGTGCCGCAAATTATCTCCGAACGATTGAAACTGCGCAATAATTGAATAATAGCTGATTAGAGAGGATTAGGTTTGTGGAAACAGGGGGAATACGAGAGTATTTTCACTTCATTTCACAATTGAGTGGGTTTGAATCTGAGCTGCAGGTTCATACTGTGATAAATGAGTGCGGAGGGGAGAAGCTGCGGATGATTTCCCCTGACATCCCAAATGTCTTCGCTTTTACTTTCAAAATCGGATTTATGCGCAGAAACATAGTGCAACGCTTTCAAACGGTGTCACAGATTTTTGTGTTTAATATCAGACCTCAAACAACAACAACAACAACAACAACAAAAAAGAACCTCAGGAGGTAAATAAATCTGTTGTATTGCACTCTGTTTGTCTCGTATTTAATTGCCACCCCGGTGTGCCCTAAATACCCTGAACTGGGATATTGTATTGTATTCTTCCTCATGCGACCCGTCAGAGAGAAAGAAAAACGCGTAATAACCAATCAACAGATGAGCAGACTGCCACCAAAGACAAAACCTTTATAGTGCACAAACCTAATTAGAATAATGCAAATGAGTGTGGGTTATATGGGACGTTAGGACTCGAGTCTGGTAACGGATCAATCAGTTTGTTGTCTCTAATAAGAAGCTGAATTGATTAATTAACTGATTGAGAAATTGGCTCATGTGAGTTTATGAGTGTTTCTTTTAATTTGACCAAAGGAAATCTTTTTTAACGGATTAGCCTTAATTGTTGTAGGCATATTGGAGAATATGAAAATGGGCCTTCAGAAAAACTGAGTTACTGAACTGCACTGAGGTGTAATCAGATTACTCGTATTTTTAATCGCATGCTGCCCTTTACTGTCATAATAGAGACATTTTGTAGGGACGCTATTTTTACGGGCAGAAATAATAAATGAAACTACTTATTTTATGAAAATAAAGTTGTTTTTTATAGTTGGGTTTATACTTACATCATTGTAATTATATAGGATAAATAGGCTTAAATACAATATTATAGAGGACAATAGAGGACTAATAATAGGTCAACATAATATTTTATTAATAAAACAGCAGCTTTATGGAGATTCAATTTGAATTTTATCTCCAGCCTATTCTTTGGTTCTTCACTACCAAATTTAAACCTCAATGAGAATAAACGAGCTGCAAATTAAGCTGATTTTCTTCCACTTGAGGGATTTATCCGGCTGATTGGATCAAATGATCAGCCACAGAAAAAGGAAGAGTTACAGTGAAAGAAAAAAATGTACTGTAAAAGCACTTTCACCTCATCTTTCTTTTTGACCAAAACAGTCTATAAAGCTCTTCTCCAGTGATATGAACTGTGATATTAATGTGAGTTTATCAAACTGAAGTAAAGCTTTTTCTATAAACTAATAGTGGTCACCAGCTGGAAGTGATGATGCCACTTACAGACAATCCACCCACATCTTCAGCAATTTCTTGGCAAAGTGCAAATATTCCAGTTATTCTGTCACATCTAATTGTCATTAATGATGTAATCCACTTGAATAAAGCTCCACGGTAGCTGATGCAAACTTCAGTGTGGAGTGTCTCCCCTCTTGTGATTGGCTGCCGCCTGTTGCCTGCTGGATAAAAAGCGCAGCAGAGAGGCGGGCTGAGGGATATAGAAGGAGCATCACAGAGCTCATTGCACCAGGGACTCTGGCTTTTTTTTGTTGGAGGGAGTAAAAAAAGTGGAACCACATCGCCATGACAGGGAAGGAGGGAGTTGTGCTTTCAGACACTGAGAATAAGCAGAAATCAGCCTCACAAACCAGCGTGAACCACGGGGGGTCCCAGCAGCCGCCTCCAGTCTGGAAGATGGCCCCCACGGTGCACCGGCGCACCGGCTTCGGGATCCAGGAGCTGCTCGGCCTCAACAAGGAGCCGCCGGCGGCACCGAGGCGGCCGCTGGAGACTCTGCCGCACAGGGCGCACATCCTGGCCGCCAGGTCGGCCCTCGGACACGGAGGTCTCGGGGTCGGTATGGGTTTGCTGGGACCAGAGGGAATACACTCGTTTTACAGCCAACCAGCCTTCCTGGAGGTGCTGTCAGAGGCGCAAAATGTGCACCTGCAGCCGCTGCACAGAGCGGCGCACATGGACGCACAGAGGGACGCGCAGCACTCCGCCAGCTCCGGTGAGTGTTTGAACTCTGGTAACGTGAACTGAGATGAGAACTATTGTTGAATGTTTCAGATTGTATTGTAATAACATTTATACACATTTCTAGCTCGTGTAGGCCTGTTTATTGTGAACGAGCAAAAATGAGTGGACGGCTGAAATGTGTTGCACAAAATGACACAGATGTCAAAAACAATTCAGTGTCGCGGCCTGTGATCGAATAATAATGATGGTAGAGACTGAAAGTTTAATTGGTTTGGAAGAAATGGTGTTAGAAAATTATTTTCTTTTTAAATACAACTATAAGCTTTTTTTCAAAACGGGGAAAAGATTGTAGAAAATGTGCCGAGGCCTTACCTAAGTACCTAAATGTACTTTTTACACTTAATTTAGTCAGTTTTATAAATAAGATTTTATCATATTTTCTTTCATTTGGGACAAATGCGCTGAATTAATACGCAGAAATGACTAGGCTACATTTTACAATAAGAAAACGGACATATGGTTTTGAAAAGTAGAAATAAAATTTTCTACCATCTTACACCGATAGCCTATACATTATATATACATGTATTATTATTATTATTATTATTATTATTATTGTTGTTGTTGTTATTTATTGCAGTGTTCACTGTTTCCCCTTACAGATTCTGATGATGTGAGTCTTTCTTCCGGCGATCAAAAGTTCTCAAAATCCTCCATGAGCCAGAGCAAGAAGAGAAAGAAAAGACGACACAGGTAAAAGAAAAACTAAACAAATGGAAGAAGAGATTATCGAATAATTTGGTTGTTTTTTATGTTCCGGTGTGGCATATATTAGGGATTTATATAGAAGCTATTACCAATGTGGGCTGCTTTTGTTTGGTGTCATCAGTGATAAAACCCCAAAGCAAAAATCTATTTTATTTAATTCAATGAAATAATAACTGTGTGTGATGCTTATATATATATATATATATATATATATATATATATATATATATATGTATAAATGTAATCATCCTAGAATTATTGAAATAGTCTACATAAAACCATCGTGATTTTCTCTGTGCTGCCTTTGAATTTCATTGTTTCTATATCTTTCGTTAAGAATTATAACAATTGTGTTTAATGTTTCATTTTTCTTTCTGTATTTCTTAAAGAAAGAATAGTAAAAAATAATTGTCAGTCCTATTTCTTAATTTTTTTTTTTTAATTTTACAAGATATTGATTGCTAAGAATGTAATTTTTTCTCTCTCTATTTTAGTAAATTTCAGTTTTAGACTGATTTAAATAATATGAAAATATGAAATGAATTAATGAAGAAATCCAAATTATAAAAGAATGTTTTTTATGTCTTGTTTTATCTGCAGAACCATTTTCACTTCCTATCAGCTGGAGGAGCTTGAGAAAGCTTTTAATGAAGCTCACTATCCAGACGTATACGCCCGAGAAATGCTCTCCATGAAGACCGAGCTACCAGAGGACAGAATACAGGTGTGTTACTGTGTATTGTCTGTAGACATGTTGTGCATGAATACTGTTATTACCTTTCAAATCCTTAAGATATAATCATTTTGCTTTAAGAAGGGAAAAAAGACAAAAAAAGAACCCCTTTTAAAAGTGTGTATTCAGTCAAATAATTAAGATATTCCTGCAATGGAAGCTTATTTAACATTAATGTTAGAATTATTTGCAGTGAATACCAGAAAGGAAGGTGATGAAGGTGCATAAAAAAAGAGAATAAACAAGGAAATACTCAGACAGACAGAGAGGCAGAGCCCCAGTGAGCTGCTCCATCGTCATCCTCACAAAGCCTTCTGCTTTCACATTAGCAGCCAATTCACCCTCTCAGTGTAATTAGTTAATTGAGGAGAACTTATCACCTCTTTCCCTGCGAGAGACGGGCCGCAGCCCTGAAATGAAATGATAACTACATAGAAATTAATTAGCGCAGGTCAGCGGCTGAGCAGAGGCCTCTGCCTGGCTGCTATGAGCATTTTAATTTCCCGTGATATTTGAGCGCCTGTCTCCCATCGATCGGGCCTGGAAATTAACTTATTTTTCAATCAGCCTCTTCGCCCCCGAGGTCACCTCTCTCAGGAAACACTTCACACACACACACACGCTGTTGTGCACACTCACACTGTCGCTGTCAAAAAGCATGATTGCTCATCTGAGGCCCATCTTTTTATGAGATGGAGGTTATCATCAGATCTACCTGAATAGCTTTGCGGGCTCGGCTTTGATCGTTTTTAATTCCAGGTCTGCGAAACACACACACACACACACACACACACACACACACACACACACACACACACACACACACACACACACACACACACACACACATGCAGGCACGCTCGCACACACACCATTCCCTACAATCTCATCCCGCCTCCTCGGCCATTTTAGGATGCTCATTTTTTCTCTGTTTTCCTCATCCATATTCACAAGCCTGCTGAGGCTATTACAGGGTCTGGCTTGGTGGAAATCAATTTAGGCACTTGAGGAGCCAGAAAGAGAATAATGCACAAGACTGCACACACACACACACACACACACACAAGCAAAGACAAATAGAAATATTAAACACTCAATTTCAGGACTTGTGTTATAAACCTATTTTGTGCAGCACACTTACATTTTGACTCTATAATGGACGTATATGTGCACCAGCAAACAAGAGCAGGGGAAATTAGCTCTCAAAATCTGTCTTATTCATTAACAACCGTTTTATTTTATTTGTTTAAACCTCCAGCAGATGTCATTGTTCCTCTGATATTTATCCCCTGGTCCACAAAAGAAAAGAGCATCAGTAAACAAGGAGGACTTAAGGACGCTTAAGATTGTCTCCAGACATAGAAATACTCTGCTCGGAATAATATTTAGTGTATGATAGTGTTTTTTCCACAAAAAGGTTCAATTACCAGGTGAAAATTTAAACAAATTACATCTGCTCCTTCTCTCATTGACAATATAAATATGCAAATATTACTAATTTCAGTTGATTCAGTTAAATCTCAATTCAAGTTTAAAGTGAGCACAAATAAACTTTTCCCCCTTTACATTCTGTAATTCCGGTTCTGCAAAGCTCAAACCTTAAATCTAAACCCTATCTGACCTTTATCTGTCCAGGTGTGGTTTCAGAACCGCAGGGCCAAGTGGAGGAAGAGGGAGAAGTGTTGGGGTCGCAGCAGCGTAATGGCAGAGTACGGCCTGTATGGAGCCATGGTCCGCCACTCCATCCCACTGCCCGAGTCCATCCTCAAGTCAGCCAAGGAGGGCGTCACAGACTCTTATGCTCCGTGGTTACTAGGTAAATAGTTGCAGATATATGTTTGTGAATTTGCTTTTTTTGTACAGAAGACATTTTGTTCAAATAATAAAATTATTGTTATTTGTAACACTTGTGCTTCTGTTGGACTGTTCTTTAATTTATGACTTCCTATTGATCTCGAATTGTATACTATCCCGTAACCGACACATCACAGATTATCAATTGCTTGTGGCAGAAATGTCTGGCAAGGAAGTAATAAGTAATTTTACACATACAGTAGCACCATCATCTGTGGCTCAGCATTTTAAAAAGTGTTGAAAAGAAGTTTTAAGACTCCTACATAATTTTTTTTTTTTACAGATTCTCTATTGTCCTCTATATTCACCTTTAATATCAATATTAAGGCTCAATATGTGAAAATCAGCTCTGCAGAGTTACTTCTCTTCTTCTTTGGGCGGAGTACTTTTAAAAATCTTCCCGATCCAGACTATCTTCTGTTTCATACAGATAAAATGTGTTTTTTTAATCATTCTTGTGCCCAACGTTTATTACTGCACTGTAGGTCCAAAGCCAATCTGCTCTTGTTTGTGTAAATGCAATTTTTCTCTTAGTCTGTCTCACTGTGTTTGAAAATTGGGGATTAAGATGTATTCTGACACCAGGAAGTGGGAGCTAAACCCGGCTCATGTTAGGAGCCAATAAAAGTGTCAGCATGTCAATAAAAGATAGCAGTCGATACAGTGATAATCCTACTTAATCAGGACAGATTAGACCAAATGTCCTCTCTCGCCTCATGTCAATTGATTAGTTTAAATCAATTAGGTGACTCTAATTAAATATCCATCCATCTATGCCCTTCCTTCTCTTGTGCACTTCAATATCAAACACCTCAGTTCATGCAAAATGCAATGCTTATGAGGGAATCGGTGCTCTTTCATGCATCAATACCTTAAACTACGCTGGTAAACACTAACATAAAGATACTTACAAGACAACTTTTAAAGTCCTCATCAAATCACAAAATGTCCTTTCTCCTTCAGGTATGCACAAGAAGTCCGTGGAAACCTCGCACACCTCTCCTGGAAAGCCCAGCAGCCTGTCACCACCACCGCCACAGCTACCACCACAGGAGAAACCAGAGGACATAGCGATGGAGGAAGAGAAGGAGAAGCAGATGAAAGACACTAGCTCAGCAATTTCTAAAGAGGAACTGAGGGAGAACAGTATTGCTGCACTGCGAGCGAAGGCGCAGGAGCACAGTGCCAAGATGCTCGGGACAGTTTCTGACAGAACGAATAGTCACGTAACACACAAAGAGGAAGTTGAGGACAAGGTGGTGGAGCAGGAGACGGCAGAGGTGGACAGGAGTAACTGAAAATAAAAAAGGGGCCGCGGGATACAGACTGATGGTGGAACACCTGCAAAGTGGAGGTTGCAAACATTTCACAGAGGCAGGAGACTTTTTCATTGGTTGAGTTGCACCTTGGTGCACGTGGAGTCACCGCTTAACTTCATCCCTGCAGAACAGATATTATAAATGTGAGAAATGATGAGAAAAAGGTTCTTTGGCTCCAACAATTTGACCTTAATTAACTCAACCAATGAGATTATTTGTGTCGCTGCTCTTAGAAATATTTGTACAGCTAACTCCAAACTACACAATACCTTTTCATTTCACCTTGTGGAGGAGAGTCATCGAGGCTCAAGCACGGAAATGTTTCCACTAATATTTATCGCAGATGTTTTGATATGGAGCCGCATTAAAAATATATATATATTTATTTTCTTTAAAACAGATTACAGTTCTGTAACATGGCAGCTACTTTATGCAACAATGTGGATAAAGATGGTTTTGGAAAAGCAAGCATTCGGTTGACCCTGCTCCAGAGGGTGATATTAAGGAAATAACTGTGACCTTTAACCTCCTTGTGATGACTCATTTCAGTTGGTAACTGAAAAGTACAGTTGTGTATTGTGTCCTGTGAAAAGGTTACAAGCCTAAAATCTTTTGTTTTCTTTCAGCTGTTGCAATATTTGTGATGTACATAGTGAAAATAATGTCCAATAGTTAACACTGTACTATTGCGTACAGTTAATACTGATTCTCTGTGTTTGTCTCTGTATAAATGTAACAGTAGCCCATAATTAAAAGTTACTGATATTTAAAGCCCCCCCCCCTCCTCCTCTCAAAAATGTGTTTCGTTTGTTTTTATTGTTTACTTGGATGTTTGAGCTTCACTGTGCAGAGTGATGTATGAGTACTATTCATCATTCAAGTGTTTTTATGTCTTAGATCGTCTAGAGAGGGCCTTTAAACACAGAAATCCTGCGTGTTGCGCAAAAACAAACTTTGCAACCGATGTTGAAATTTTGGTTGCAACCTTATATACTTTCCAAAAACAGAAAGAAGTGTCACCACATGGGTTTGTACCGCCCTTTAACACATCACTCCTCCAGCCCCTCCACTCCGTTTGGAGTTTCCAAGTTTTCCCTTTCGCTTAAGTTGAGCAGAGTAACTTCCAGAATTGCTTAAAGGCTGCAGTATCGGAGACGGAAATGCGTTGCAGAACATAAATTGGTGTAACGCGGAATACTTTCACTTTCACGATGTGGCTGCCCTGTGGATGCGCTTCAAAGTGCGTCGTTGCCTCCTTAAGTCGTCGGGTTTTCAGATCTTATTTCCATGTGTTGGGTGGAAGGAGACATAATATTGCGGCGTTTATGCCGGAGTCTGCGGGGTTTGAAGGGGTGTCGGACTGCTCGGCGCTGCAGGAGTTTTCCGTCTCCAACAGTGAGAGCTTCTGGGCCGCTGCGGCGCGCCAGAGACTGAGCTGGATCAGTCCTTTCCACACGGTCCAGGACTGTGACCTGAGCCGAGGCAGGATTAAGTGGTTTGAGGGAGGAAAGCTGAACGTGTCCGGTAAGATTATCTTCACATCTAATCAGTTAGTGCGACCAGTAATTGGATTTATAACAAAAAAAAGATGGTCGTTAGAATAAACTGAAGTCATGATCATGCTGCTTTTTGAGGAACACTTTTAAACTAAAGAAGACAACTTCTGAAGGAAATTCAGTTTGGCTGTTAGCTGACGCTAAACTGCATTGTTGGCATTAATTTTTATGGAGAAGCAGCTGAAGGAGCATGTAGGGTTGGAAAAGTGGAAAGGGGTTAATGAATAGGAATAAGGTTGACCATTTTGAGTATATAAGATAGGTAAGAAAGAAGGTGTCTTCCCTACTTTCTTGTCCTGTTTGTTCAAAAATTACTCTACACCATCTTTAAACAATCAGTTCTATGTGTAACTATGATAGACAACACAAACTAGTTACATGGTGCCAAATTTGAACATTTTCATTTTACTGTCCTCCGTTTGTCGGAGTGGAACTTTCCCTGCTGGCGGTTACCCTCAGTCCAGACCCAGGCGTTGATCAGTAGCAAGTCCATCCCATCCTCCTCCATCCACATTTTGATGTATAGCCTACATTATGTATATGAAGTGAAAATCAGGGGAGTAAGAGCAAGTTTAAGAGAAAATTTTTAGGCGATTTTACAGCTCCTCTCCACTGTTGTTTGAATGAGTTGAAAGAGTTTAACATGAGTAGTTTTGTTGGTACTACTTCCTGTGTAACTAAGATTCGAAGAAAGCTAAAAGTTTGAATGGAATTTAAAAGTTGAACAATACCTAAAATGTATGAAACCTTTTAAAAAGTTAAATGGAGTTTCTGCCAGAAAGTATGAATGAGAGTAAAAAGTAAAAAATGAAAATGTGCCACTTTTGAAAATTCCATCCACTCATTTGAATGAGGAAAATTTCCCAGAAAATCTGAAAAGTATTAAAGTTATGAATGAGAAAAGTAATAGCCCACAATTACTAATATTGAGTGAATATTTAGCAGTTTGAATGAAGTTTTTACCAGTACCTGAAATGGGACGGTACTCCCCAGTACTTCACTACAGAGTTCTTATTGAGTACTGCCACCTCTGGTGAGTATGGCCGTACCCGCCATTGAGGTCACTGGTATTGTTTCCAAGGTGTATAAAATAAAAGTTGTGAAAAGTACTACTTTGACTACCTCAGCGTAAGAATCTCTATCACCGTATGATCCAAAGAACCCTGAATGCACCATGCTGATGTGATGATGAATGAAGCGAATAATGGGAGATTTTACTGTGTGTATCGGGTTTCTTTATGGGCACATGCAGTGAACTGCCTGGACCGCCATGTGCACACCTGTCCTGAGAGGGTCGCTCTGATCTGGGAGAGAGATGAACCAGGGTCAGAGTTCAAGGTCACCTACAGGTCAGCAGATTGGCTTTAGTGTGTGTGTGTGTGTATGTGTGTGTGTGTGTGTGTGTGTGTGTGTGTGTGTGTGTGTTCCTCCTTCTCTTTGTATTGTAGCGTGGTTCATTGATATCTCCCTACAGGCAGCTACTGGAGATGACATGTCGCCTGGGCAACCTGTTGAGGCGGCATGGTGTGAAGAGGGGCGACTGTGTCACCATCTACATGCCTTCCTGCCCTCTGGCTGTGGCGTCGATGTTGGCCTGTGCCCGTATTGGTGCAGCACACAACGTGGTGTTTGCAGGGTTCAGTGCTGAGGCTCTCGCAGAGCGAATAAGAGACGGTGAGACAGAGTCACTGCTGATGAGGGACAAAATGAGTCTGGAAACAGATTTCCACTATACGTTTTAAAGCTGCACCGATTAATATCTTTATTAACAATGGGTCGAAACATTATCCGGAATATATTTTCAGGTCTTTGTTTTAGTTTTAGATCCCACAACTTTACTGTTTTGGTTTAGTCTTTCTATCAATGTTGTAGCCAACTCCAAAACCTGTATTTGGTAAAAGTGTTGATGAAATTGTTGAAACCAAAACAGTAAATCATCACAAAAGGAAAAGCTCCATAGAGCTTAGAGGAGTTGGTTATGATTATCTGTGGGTTTATCACTATAAGTTACGTCTTTTACATTAATGTTATCCATTGTTAATACAGAAATATTGAAAAATAGAAGAGACCCGAGCGACTGTGTAAATCCTGTATTTCTTTAGCATTGCATGCTTTTTTAAATATTATTTTTGTCTCTAGACCAAAAGATTATGATTGGCTCCTCACTTTTCACCTTGTTCTTTGTTCTTGGGCCCTTTATGAGACTCAATGTGTGTTTCAAAATACAATCTAAACAGGTTACTTTATCATCTGTCACAATACCCAGGGTTTGTCAAGAATCCTATTTTTTATCACAATATTTGTAATTTTAAGTTTAAAATGTAATTAAAATGCAGAAAGTGGCAGTAACATTTTGATATCCACATACTGACCGACCACAGCAGTCTGATTTGATATCCGTCATGTTTTCAGCCCAGTCCAGCACCGTCATCACGGTGAACCAGGGCGTCAGAGGGGGTAAGCTCACCGAGCTGAAGAAGACGGTGGATACAGCTGTTCAGAGCTGCCCGACAGTACAGCAGGTGTTTGTTGCTATGAGAACAGAGAATCCGGTCGCCATGACAGCCAAGGATGTTGCCATGGAGGAGGTGAGAGAGCAGAAAGAAAACCAGACATTGATTAAGATATTAATGCCGACAGCAGAGGACCGCAAGTGCACTGTGTCACCTTTCCCTGGACAAATAAAGATTTAGAAAAACGTTTATTAAGTAAAAATGCAGAATAAACAGTTCATTTTGCATTGATTGACTAACTGACTGATCACTTAGTCAATTTGGATTTTAGATTTTTTGGTAACAGGACAGTTTCACCACCAGATCCATAAGTAGCTGTTCTGAAGCTTCTGTCGTATCACATAATCTTCCTCAAAGAAAAATGACACAACAACTGGGCAAACTTCATCTGCTGAGGAAGATCCTGTGATATGATTGAAAGCTCCAGATTAGCTGCTGAATGGATTTTGTGGTTATGTAAACTTATTATTCTTACATGCCTTTTAAAATGTTAATCTCTCTTCTTTCATCATGATAAGTTATATGGCATGTGTGACACCCCGTCTATCTACTGTTTGTCATTCAACACCAGATTATATTTCAACAAGAGAAAGCAATTAAGTTTGTTTGGTTGTGGTTTCATTACTATGCTGTGGTTACTACATGTGATTTCTGACAATGCGCAGGAGATGCAGAAGGAGGATGTGGTGTGTGAGCCGGCTGCCATGGACAGTGAGGACGTGTTGTTCCTGCTTTATACGTCAGGCAGCACAGGGAAACCTAAAGGGCTCGTCCACACTCAGGCAGGATACCTGCTCTATGCTGCACTCACGCACCGGGTAAACAACCTGTGTTGTCTTGTTGATTATATTTTTTCTTCTCTTTTGATCCGATCCAATCCCATAAATCTTCTTCTCCTCTCATCGCCAGTATGTCTTCAGCTACCATGATGGAGATGTGTTCGGCTGTGTGGCAGATATTGGCTGGATAACAGGACACAGTTACAGTGTCTACGGGCCCCTGGCCAACGGGGGAACCTCCGTCCTGTTTGAGAGCACTCCTATTTACCCTGACCCAGGTATGAATGCCAGAAAATGTATGAATGTGTCACACAGGCTGACAAATTCATAATAAATACATACAAAAAATCGAATAGCATTAAGGCATTTTATTAGATCTAATGTTTTGCTGACATGTTAATATAACATTTTATGTGAAGGACGGGAATACTCTGCATGCTTGTGTCTCTGTCTATGTATAACTGTTTATAGTTGAACTTGAACTTGGCCATACTTTCCACACTAAAATTAGGACTTCTGTATACAGAGGAGTCACAGTCGTCATTTGTGTCAGCAGACACGTCTTGTTATTGTCAAGGAAAAACTGTTCAAAACTGAGAAGGGTTTGTCTGATGTTAGTCTGCAAGCTTCAGTCTAATCTCCAATTTCTGAATTTACATTTTTAGTATCATCTCAGTCAAAGGCCAGGAATCTCTTTGGAGCATGCTAACTCAGACATGTTTTGTTGTTCACAGGAAGGTACTGGGAGATGGTTCAGAGACTTAAGATAAACCAGTTTTATGGGGCTCCCACAGCGATCCGCTTACTGCTCAAGTATGGAAACCAGTGGGTGCACAAATACGACCGATCCACCCTCAAAACTCTTGGCTCTGGTACGCCAAACACCAACAAGTGCTCACCATTAAATTATTTTTTCCAACCTGGTTT